TTTTTTTTTTTTTTTTTGCGGGGCTCCTATGATGAGGACTAGAACATTTTTAAAAATGCCATTTTTATACTCTAGGTGGCTGTGAACTAGCGAAATCCTTGTGGCACCCATCAGCTTCAAGGTCAAGCATCACATTCCAACCTGCCCAGGAGCTTCTCAAGATTGTGGACCCTTTTGGAGCTCCACATGAAAGTGTATAAAGGGGGAACTCCATGTCTTGAGGACTATCCACCTAAAGCCCTCGATCTCTCTCAGGGTCTACGGCAAGCAATGAGCCATACGAAAAGGCTGTTGTAAGCGGCCTGGAAAGGACCTACTCCAAGCAAACTGAAGATTCACCGGGGGCATCCGTGAAGCTTGCCATTAGTGCCCTTGAATCCAACGACAGTGATGCATCCAGGAAGGCCTGGCGAGGAGGCCTCGCAATCGGCTGATAAACCTCCTGGACAGAATTAGGCAGAAGTCCATGGGTTCAGGGATGAGGGATGAGGGCAGAATGGAGGTTTTGTATTCATATCACTGCTGAGAGAGGTCTGTCTACCTTGAGGTCCAATCGTTTCACATCCTCCTCTCAGTCTTGTCTCACTCCTACTGCTTAAAATAGGACTTCCCTCTATTGTGTGTCACCTTTGTGGGTCCTGATAATGAGGACTGAGCTTAAGAGGGATACAAGGGTCAGCTTTGACTGCAAGACGCCGGCTCCGGTTTCTCCTGGACATCGCATGGCATGTGGTCTTGGGCTTTGGAGAATGGTGAGCAAAATTTTGTTGAGGCCCCAGACTTTCGGACCTTCATGTTGAGGGTTGGGGCCATGGGGGCCCTAAAAGGTGAGCACAAGCAGGCATATGATCAACCATCCTTCTGAAGCCGTGCAGTCATGGTGGCCGGCCAAACTAAGCTCTGAACCCAACAACCTGTCACCCCCATGTAGGGCCTGCTCTTGATTTACAATTTGCGTTTCAATCTGTAGGGATTGTGCGAAGATCAAAGGACGATCAGAACAGAAACATGGATCCTGACTTAATGGCTCAACTCCGACTCTGTGCCTGCCCTCGTGACTATCGCGTAAAAAGACTGAAGCTGTCGTGTTCAGGACGCTCAACGGGGGGGGGGGTGGGTGCTTCATTGACAAGTGACAACGGCTTTACACATGTAATTGATTCACTCCAAGATCCTAAACCCCATGCCCAAATTACTTGTATCGATCCGGAGCAGTCCTCTCGCGGCTTTGCCAAGGGCAGGAGGATCACGTTCCTTTTGAGTTGAGGCTTGCTTGTCAGCTGGGAGGGGTCATGTAGGAGCATGCTAGCTGCTAGCTGTTTGTCCTCAGCGCCTTGAATCTAATGTTGAATGGTTTTGCTCTTCAGACACATCGTAGGACTAGCACCTATCAATGATGCGTGTATGAGACTGTCTCAATACATCAGGGCCAGCCCAGCAGAGTGGCACGACCGCGGAGAGGACAAAGAAAACCACGCAGGAGCCGATAAGGATCCCGTTGCCGAGCAACCAGTAGTTCAGCTCTGCCTGTCACGGATTTAGATGTGCAACTTTGGCGAGTTGAAGGATGAAAAAAAGTCTTCTTGCAGCTTGTTTGCCAAGCTAGCTTGAGCAGTTGTCAACACTGAAGCAATTTTTGGAATGCGCATCCTTCTGTCTGCCTTATGGCCGAGCTATGCTACGGTGCGCAAGTCGTTTGAGTTTCTGCAAAGAGACTGATTCCAGGAATCAAGGCTACTCCAAGGAAGGGGCAGGGCCTTGCTAACCTGTTGGCAGTAAGTAACGTCATTGACTGGTGTTTGGCCGCCTCCTGCCTCCAACCATCCTTCCTTAACACCACTGACAGCCCAAATCTTTGCGAAAATGCATGGACTTCCCCAGATCCAGATACCTGCAGTAAGGCATGAACGTAAGAATTCTGAGCAAGGCATCAACGTAAGAATTCTGAATCCTGACTGCCTGTTCGTCTCGAAGCCCTCCTCAACACTTCAACTAGAAACTTCTAAACCTCCGAAGGTTCTTCCGAAAACATGGAGTGCAATTCTAACATGCTGAATCATTGCTCGTACAGCTGGAACCACCCAAAGACTTGGAAAAAAGTAAACTTCACTCAAAACTTCATCCTTGTTGACTGAATGGCGTCTTCTTGACTACTTGGTGCCTGACTGGGTCTGCGTTCTGATTCAGAGCCCGGAGGTCGAAACTCGGACAATTTACCATCGGATGCGGGGTCTTGCATTCTGTGGCCATTTCAAGGGTTTCAAGAAGGTCCTGCCAGTCATTCCATACGGGAGTTTGCTTGCCTAACTGCTCTCAAAAGGGAAGGTATCTTGCAGAGAGCCCTGTCATCACAGCCCAAACATGGCCGCTTATACTAGTCTCAATTGAGGAGGCCTGATTCTACGGCCCTGGCCTTCTCAGGATCCACGACCCACTGAACAAAGACAGGCTCAGCGGGCGTGGATAAGCGATAAACCGCTTTCGCCTGCTTCACCGCCTGCATATACCTGAATGACATGGAGGCAGGGCTGTAGACGGTTCAGGATTCAGATAGCATCAAGACAAAGCGTGCACTTCGGACTGCAGTTGATCAGTGTTCATAGGTTCAGACCCACAGGCCCTCAAACATCACAGAAGCCACCATACTGACTTCCTGAGACGTAGATGCCTTCATGCTGCCTTCAGAACCCTGAAGACTACTCACAAAACATCCTACTTGCCTCTTGGTAGTAGACAATGATGGGATGGGTTCTAGTTAGTGGTTACTATGACAATAAGAATTCTGGGATTATGAAGGGATGCTCATAGGAGCTCCATGTTTCGAGCAATTATGGTAACACGGCAGTCGGTGATAATTAACTACACTGACAGGTACAGCATCTGCAGCAAGTAGTCACAAAATGCTTAGCGGCGGTACTGAGGACAGTGACCCCTGTTCCTAGTTTCCATCTGATTGTCCACCTTGTTATCCATTTGATTCTCCATTCTTGGGGTAGTACCCTAAACCCCCTATCTCTATACAACCCCACATATTCACCATAGAACCCTATATATGCTAGTTTCCTTAGTTGTGAAGCTTCAAGGCGCTCCGGCGCGGCTTTTCGAAGGACGACACCGGCGTGAGCTCTCCTGGGGCTAAGGGTTTAAGGTTTAGGGTATTCGTTGGGTCATTTCCCCTTGAAGTAATTGTCCTTAAAGGTCTTGTAGTAAAGGGCCATCGTAGTTCCTAGCATTTTTCGTTGCAACACTTATTGTAAGGGGGATTTGATGTGGACAGGGCAGCTGATCACAAGGGAGGAATCTCCTTTAAGCCGCTCACGAACGTGCATGAACACACTTTTAACGCAGAGTTGGAGGAACCTGAGTTACCGAGGAGGCTTGGGATTTTCTAACTGTCGAAATGCCAGCCGTGACCCACGCTACTTGACTGACTACCTCTTGAAGACGGAGTCATAGATTCGAAGAGAACCGCTCGTTTTGCACAGCCCGATGGTCCTATCCCAGGCGTCGTCGCACTCAAAGTCACCACGGGCGCTGCAGCAGTCCTTCCAATCCCTCCCTAATAAAACACCCTGCACATTAGTTTTATAATAATGAGAGGCAATTTTTTGAGAGTGGGGGAGTTTCTTATTAGGGGTCTGGTCAATGGTTACCAGGTTTGCGGCTATCTTCTTTCGACATTCACTGTACGATCCTGAAGCCTGAAACCCGTAACCTCGACCCTCACGGGCACTTGGTACAAAACAGGCGTGTGGTATGCGTTTGGTAGTTTCCCAAAACAAGGGACCCCAATATAGACCCCAAAATACTATAACCCTTATTATGGGGACCACCATTGAGGTACCCCTAATTTTGAGAAGCCCCCATTTAGGAATAAGCGCTTATTGATACATCACCAGGAATAAAGTTTCGACCTACTGGGGCCTTGGGGCTTAAGAGGAGGACCAGCATGTAGAAATACAGTGCGCAGTCTGGGCCATATTGCGGAGTGACTTTTTACCCTGTTTTACATGTATACTATTTTAAGCTTCCAGCGAGCGGAGTCCCCATGGCGCTCAGTGGAAGAGTCTATGGGGAAAAAAGGGTCTGCTTGTAGTGTGGGTCCGAAATGACAAGTGGGTCGAAGGGGTCTGCTTGTAGTGTAGGTCTGAAATAGCAAGTGGGTCGAACTTTCGTCCTACCGCAGTAGTCCCATCGCAAGGCTGGCTGGTTGAGTAAACCAACTTGCGAAAGCTTCCATCTCATTTTCCATGCTCTTAACTTTTCCAGTCGATTATTTTGCTCTTAAAACCCTAAACGCTAAATATCCCTAAATGTGTCGATATAACCCCAACTAAGTTTGCTCAACCAGGCGCCTCAGGCCACAAGCTATGGTTCACACTCAACTCGTGAACTGTGGCTCACTTGTTCTCTTTGGTTCCTGCAGAACACCTTATGTTAGCCTTACTTAGGCGGAGGGTACAGCGTTTGATGATGTTTTCCAATGAAGCTCTGTTGGGCACCTTGCCTGCCCTGCAGCCCAGAATTGGATCTTATCGGGGTGGGAGTCGTCGATGATTGGCGCGACACAGTACCTCGGCTTCGGCGCATTCACATGTGAGGCTTCAGGGTTTGCACAGACACAAGAGCACGAAGGACAGCTTCTATAAGCGTAGCGCCTCAAGAGGACACTCAATCAAATATTACTGGGCGGCTTAAAAGGACATGACACCCAAGCAAAAAACAAAATCAGCGTACTGGTGTGTCTTCTTTTCTTTTCTTTTCTTGAGGACCCGATTTGCTGTTGCTAGATGGTCTTCAGGATTCCAGTCCACGCGACAGGCGCAGGTTACAGCCGCACATCCAAGGTCAACGCACAAAACACAGTACAGACAGAACCAGCAAAAAAGTTCCAAACCGACCCATACAGGTGTCATCTCACCAACAATTTGGTTCAGGGTATGAGGGCTCTGTGGGGTTGGGATTGAAGGCGCTGACAAATTCCTTCCACTGCGACCAACTCAGGCGCCGCATGGCGCCGCACAGAAGACTTAACTGGCTGTTGAGTTCATCAGAGCTGATGTAGAAGCATCTCCTAGCCAAAGAGGCAGTCTCCAGGCACATATTGACCAAGTAAACCACCCACCATCAAACAGTCAACCCATGAGCCACCACAAAAAAGAGGGATGCCTGAATTCAACCCTACCCCCCACCTAACCTAAGGATCAACGTGTCAGCCAACCTGGCCCCCCCCAAACTCGTCCTTTCCTGGCTTCCGATCTAAAATCCTCCTGCAATCCCTCAGCTGAATGACTGTTTTACGCTTTATATAATACCCCTACCATTGGAACCCCACACTTAAGCAACACCACCAAGCCCGAACCGCCCTAAACCGCAAACCTTGGACCCCAAACCCTTGGCTGCCGTCATGGCACACAGACCTGTCCATAAAACCAAGGCCTCAGAGAAGTTTCTCAAAAGGGAGGTTTCCTAGGTCCCTTTTGGGTATGCAGGCATTGAGGAGTGGGGCTTACGCTTTTCCCTGGATCCCTGCATCACCCCAATTGGCTTTTCTCATACCCGGGTGTTCCGATACATGTAATGCACCCGCCCCGCTGATGGAAGTAGCTCTTGCCATGATAACCTCAGAGTGAGTTGAGTGAAAAAGCCCTGCTTTCCTTCGGTTTGATCATTATTCCCGGAGCAAAATCCACAGGAAAAAGCCCTGCTTTCCTTCGATTTCATCATTATTCCCGGAACAAAATCCACAGCAGCAATAATCCCTTTAATCTCTGCACATTGCCATGAAACGACACGCATACACTGGGGCACGCCTATGAGGAGTGCATGCAATCTATGCACTCCCAAACCCCCCCCTGCATCGGAGGCAGTGGTGAACCCCCTGACGGTCCAGCCAGATTTCTACAATCTGTGTTGATCTTCCCCTTCATCCAGATCCCCTACACCCCAAGTCTAGTCGCATTAGACAGTAGTCCCGCTGCTCCGGACGCTTCTGGAAACCCCTACAGGGCTGGGGGTGCAGCAGGAACAATCCCAGGGATGATTCGGTGGGTGGCAGTGTGTGATCTCTTCACCGGCGGTGTGTGTGTGTGCGTTTGCGAAGAAATCCAGGTCACAATGGATTCTGAAGCTTAAGCCCTCAATCTCGATTCCGTGGTTTAGGACCCTCCCGTGGGGGGCCTCGCTTTGTATCCACACGCGCCTCCTCCGCGAAAACCAGCTTCCTTGGGAACAGTGTATGGCTTTGGGGCTTACGAATTCAAAAGATCTCTGGTGTTAAGGGATTGGGGTATCTAGGTTTAGGGTTGAGAGCTGAGGTGTGCTTGTCAACGCGGACAGATTACAAAGGGGGTGAGTTAGTCAGTAACGAAAATTCGTCTGCTGGCTCAAATGCCGCAGAGAGTTTAGCGATGGGGCTCACATGTACGGCTCAAGACTCAAGCCTGTTAACCCCTAAAATCCATAGACCAAACTTGCGAAAGCACTTGAAGAACTCTTTGAAGCTTTTTCCTGCGGCCCAAGTAGCCCAGCATCTAAATAGCCCGCAGCAGGCTCAGAGGGAAGAACATTCCTTGCAGCTTTTAGACCAAGCTGGGGCATCTTTGCAAGTGACTAGGATTATGAATACTACTCCTGCAAGTACGGGTGCAAGTAGGCGTGCTTGTAATGATCCTCACCTTCTGCTTGTCAAACGTCTTGTCCTTTTCGGAGCTGCTAGAGGTCCAGGATTCTGAGTCGGATTGTGTTGAGGTAGGTTCCTTGATAGGTATTGGGCCATGTCTTGCAAGCTGACCAATGCCTCCAAGCTAACAAAGCTTGTAATTGAGCCTCTCTGCCTTTGAATGAGGTGATCGTTTGAGGTCGACGAGGACCGAGAAGTCTTGTTTTCTGGCAATTCGACTCTTTAGCACTGACACACGGACACCACTGAAGACCGGATACCGTAGGATGAGTCGATTGCAGAAAGCCCGTGATTGAACCCAGGAAGACCCCATTGTCAGTGCAAAGGCTCACATACGAATGGCTGGACCTGTAGAGCCAGTACTGCGAATAGAAGCCTCGGCTTTGGATATCTACGGCACGATAGGCGAGAGTTCAGGCGGGCCGGGTTTAGGACAGAGGGTGCCAAGTCTTCTAATTCTATCAGCACTTCAGAACAACCAGGAGAACATGAGCTAGTTCACAGTAAAATTGTCTGATGACGGAGGCATGGGGTCGTGAAATGGTCATCCAGACGATGCTCGTTTGATTGACTTGCAGGCTGCTGCGCACGGAGTGCCCCGGCATCCAAGTCACTGAGCTTAAGCGAACAATCTACAGACTTCCTAAACTACAAACTGTGCCATGGGGCTTCTTTAGGTACGCGTCCTCTTACCCACTGTACCCAAACTTTCACATAGCTGGCAGTTCTAGCAACCGAGCCCCACTCTTCTCCCATTTCTTCAAGGGCCATACTGATCTGGGCTCGCCATGGGGCTTCTGTAGGCCACCAGCCCCAAGCAGGAGGACACGACCACCCCAGCCATGCAGGACAGCGGCAGCACGGTGTGCCACTCCTGCCACATGCCATTTCCAGACTTTACAAAACCAAGAATACCACAAATTACAAGGTGCCATTGGTAAAGCACCCACAGAAGAGGTTGGGCAGACGAAGACGCGACATGTGCAGAATGCACCTTCCTGCAGTTCCCTCAATCTTCGTGTACCGTCTCTACGCCAAACTATAGAGAGATGAACATGGGGATTGCAAAAGCTATTCTGACAGGATTTGGGTGGCTCGTGGAGGACAAACAGCGTCTTGACTATTTCGGCTCTTAAAGTTGACCGTGATGCACAGCCCCCCCCAAACATCTGAAGTTGTATGCGGTGTAAGCGCGCACCTGTGCTTGTGTTACACCATTTACACACATTTTGATGTCTACCACCTCAGGTTTTATCACCCGTCCTGCACTCCATGCTGCGCATCATGACGCGCATGCCAGATGCAGACAGTCAGCAATGTCAGCGCGATCACCCACCTTTGGCTGCACAGGTAGAAGAACTTCAGGGTGGGCCCAATGGAGACCAGTACGGTGGAGGTCCCTTGAGTCCCTTGTCTCGCAGCTGTTTCGACCTAATCCTATCTGAAACCTAGGGGGGATCTAGGGGGTAACCAACATGTCCCACTGACCCCCACTTCACCGTGAACTTGACTATCAAGAGAAGCAGTCTTGTTCTAGATGTTCCAACATGATGGAAAGCAAGGAATCGGGAACATCTCTAGACCTGCATGACGCTTAGGAGCTCCTGAGAGCAACCTGGGAACAGAAACTTGGAGCCAGAGCTCTTGAGAAAGTGTGGCAACCCGAGAAGTTCTCAATGAAGCCTCCAGCCAAATCTGAGGCCATAGATAGTACCTGTCTGGAGTTCAAGAGCTTCTGATTCGTATCTTTGTTAAAACCGAGTGTGCATTCCTTATGATCCCAAAGTTCCACCACGAACTCAAAAGCCTGAATCAAACCTCTTGATGATCTTGATGTAAATGACCCGCCGCCCTTGATATAAACTCCTACGAAAGCCCGTTTCCATTTCATTTCCAACTTCTTTTCTAGTGGATTATCTACTATTGGGGGATACTTACACCCTCAACCCTACGCCAAAAAAACGTTAAACCCCAATATGACTGGCCGCACTGACAGCGGCATGCTGTGGTACGTCGACGCGAAAAGATAGCCTTTGCAGTTTGTTTCGTGAAGAGTTGATGGGAGAATATATACGAGATGATCTAACCACCTTACATGCCAAAAGACTGATGGGGGCCTAACACAAGAAACAACAGGTTCTTGTGTAGCTGACTTAATAAGATTTGTGTGCAACAGGCTGCAGTATGCACCCAGCTGAAAGACTTCTGTGATCGTCAGGGGCAAGCAAGCATGGGCATTTGCAAAGCAGTGTGGAGTCTGGCAACGCCAGCGGGTGCCGACTTCTACTGTCCTCAACTTACATGGAACCCTGTTTGTTTGGGGCTGCATACCTAGAACAACCAAATCGCTTAAAGTACCAACTCCAGACCCAGCGCCCGACGCTTCAGGCCTTAAAACATGAGGCCCGACGCTTCAGTCCTTAAAACATGAGGCTTTTTGGTTTGGGTCAAGAGTTTTGGGTTCACAGCTTAACGCCCACGGCCTGCACTCCACCCAAGTCCATGCAAGGCAGTTTGCAAATCGGGGCGCGGTCGAGAAATATGTTGTGGCTCTTCTTCCTTGTCACAGCAACTTCTTGGTGTCGGGGCTTTGTGGCTCCAAATCCCGGATCCCTCAACAATTACACGAGAAAGCGTTGGGATCACTTCTGATCAAGCGACTCATCAGCACGCAAACCAGCCATGGGAGGGAGATCAGCACAACCAGCTCGAAATAGCCTCAGATTTCACGGCCCCTTCATGCCCGGTGCTGCCAGTTCAGCTTCAAGTAGTCTGAGCTTGCAAAGTAGGTATCTGCTGCGCCTTTCGGTCATGCGGGGACTCTGTAAAAATGATGAGCATATCGGACTAGGGTGTTGCTCTGACGTATCAAGGGCCACGAGCTACATATCTCATCTTTGTACAGAACATGATTGTGCTCCGTTGAAGCTTCAGCTGCTTCTATCCAGGAATCCGATGACCAAGAGTGTCATTGCTGAGATTTGCTAAGCTTCACATGGACCGGACCTTTGGAGTTCGCATGATGGTGATGAGGAGGGGGAGATAGGTATTTGGATTCCAGTATTTTGGTACAGTTCGACTGCAGAGAGCAGCCATGTCCATTGTTCCCTCTATACAAAACATGCGGCTTCTTTCTGGCTATGACGACTATGACTGCTTTCCCGTCTGACACTTGCACACAACAAAGTAAACCATACCAAAGGTAGCTATGGCAGCTGTGAATGGAGACAAGCTGCCCTCCGAATCTCCCAATACAAAGACTTTTCACTGCACTGAAACCGACGTACGAATGTGGTTTAATCCTCATCTGTCCAGGAGGCTATACCGGTCCCATGTCGAATCGTCCCAGTGTTTGTACACACTTCGCAACCTCTGCAGCGGTTGGGCTTTGTCAAAGTCGTGAGACAAGTTGGTATAAGTTGGTATTGCAGGCTTGGATGTGCTGCAGATCAGGACCAATCTGCACGCTAGCTGAGTTTGAAGCAGAGGCGTCGGAAATTTCATTGAGTGACTAACAGGAGATGACCGCGGTGAACTGCACCCACAATCGAACGCAGGCTGCACCCTACTCCTACGCTCCAGTGATCCATTGAAACTGCCAAATTCCTACAACAGGGCTCTTAAGGAGCTACCTAGGCGTCATGGGATACAGTAATTTGTGGTCCCATAGCCGGGATGCAAGACAATGGGTACAAGTTATGCTTGATTAGAAGATCTCTCCTTCTCTGACACGATGGATCGCGATGGCAACTTGAGAATGAGCTTTCGCCTGGTGGTCGAAGCTTTGAAGATAATTCCGTTTAGCCAATCTCCCTCTTTTCTGATTCGCCAAGAGGCCATGGCAGCTTCATTCGTATATGGGCATATCGCGGCTCCCTAACTGTTTGGAGCCACACCTTCGCAACGTGACAGTAGGACTCAACCAAAGCAACCAAGACTCATCAACCAAACAGCCAGCTTTCAAACATGGATTGTTGCAGGTCCCATGCCACCTATAATACCTTGGGACACATGGAATCGAGTGAGAAGAACCACACCCCATATTGCACCCCTTCCGCAGGGGCTGCAAGGAAGGAAATTTAGGCATCAGAATGAGGGGAGAGGAGCGAAGCCCGCCCCATTACATAGAACAAAATCATGACACACCCTGAAGCTGGGTCTAGAAACTTGAGAAGCCCCACATCTATACGACGGACATCACAGCTGCTTCCATCCCAACCCGGCTCTACGAATACTGCACAGCCTAGGTCTGCTAGGGAACTGTGCACCAACATGGCCAATACCAAAAACATCGGGCACATGTGTCCATGAAACCAGCCAAATTGAGTTGGCAATTCTTTTCGGCAGTTTTGTGGACCATTGTTCTCCTTAAGGTGATTGCTCTTACTGCTACTGCTGCTACTGCTACTACTACTCCATACTCCTCCTGCTACTCTCACTCATGCTGCTACTGCTACCGCTACCGCTACTGCTTGTTCTACTGCTACTGCTGGTTGCACTGCTACTGGTTGTAATTCTGCTTCTTCTTGCATTTAATGATGAATTGACTGAGAGGAAACAACCCAGGCATCTGTCTTGCGTTCCTCACTCTTCCTCCTGCTGCAGATAAACAATGGACATCAAGTTCGAGAATTGTAGGATCTCCGGCTAGGGCCCTATCATCAAATCCAGTTATACATTCCTCATTGCATATCTTCTGCTTCGAAAGAGAGGCTAAGGTGCTCTTTGAGAGATACCTGGTCACGCCACCTAAGGTCAGGAATTTAGAGGTAGCTTCCAAAGGATGTCAGGTCAGCTTCTAGCAGCCTCGTGAACAACTCGGGCTTCAAACACCTAGGACCTAGGCATGAGCAAAACAAACTTCCTTCAAAGTCCTTGGGAAAGACCAGGACTAGACTTCATGGCCCGCGGAGACCCTACCAGGAGTGACACAATGCCTTTGCTAGGCTGTCTGGCGCAGAGGCAGGAGGCGCTGCAAGGGTGTCTACGGCTAAGGGCTATAGAGCTTCACGAAAGGGCCTGCACAGTCTGGCCAGGGATCTTGAAGCATTAATATTTCAGGTATAGTATACTGCAATATATCTCAAAACTATCCGAGATCGCTTATGGACTTTGCGTGCTTCAGGGAAAACTAGAGAACGGAAAGTTCTGGACAGCTACAGGTGTGGATGGGGCATGAAATCGGTCGATGTCGTCGCAGGGATTCCCCTGTGTACGTCAATGGCATGAGTTGTAAGAAGGTTGTGATGGAAACCAGGAACATGGCGTGCTCCACGCTGTACACCGTAGCCAATACCAGCTTAGGCAACCTGACTTAAAACGCGCATTGCAACAAGTGCAGATGACAAAAAGAGGGGGCGATGAGAGGAGGCGGAGGAGGGGAGAGGAGGGTGAGAAGAGAGGGGAGGAGGAGGAGGAGGTGGAGGAGGGGCGGAAAGCGGCCAGAAGCACTCCTTGATTAGGGCTTCAGCGGATCGTAAAGGGAAGGAAGCTTTAATCCTTGTACAGTGCATGTTTGGGGCTTCAAAGCTGCGAGAGGAGACTCCGAAGCCCGCTAGCTTGCTAGGACTGTCTCAGGCATTAGTGCTTGGTCAAACCTTTTGGACCTGTGGATGGAGATACATGGTAGCCGTGATTCTGATAACACCAGAGATAAGAGACCAGCAGTCCCCAAAGTCAACTGAGAATACCGCCAGGTGACAATGGTGCAACACGTTGGGCAATACAAAAAGAACAAAATGGAAATGCTGATTCTTTGGCGACTGCTAAGAAGCTGCTACTATCAGGTCAGTTGTTACAAACCAAAACAACTCAAGCCAGGTATATAGCTATACAGTTATACAGTCCAAAAAAATGGTAGTTTCCATACAGGGGGACCCCAATATAGACCCAAAATGCAATAATTCTTGTTATAGGGACCCCGCAAAAAAAAAGTAACCCCAATTTAGGAAACTCCCAGATGTCAGATTGCCCAGGATGGCTGAGGAACCTACCGACCGATTGAACACCATGTATCGTCAATGCTTTCGTAACACTGCAGACCAAGAATCTGTGTTGATAATCAGCTAGTTTTCAAGGTTCAGGGTTTTGGGTCCTAAACCCTAAACCCTAAGCCTTTTACTGTGGTCCATGGTGTTAACTCATGAAGCGGCTGAAGACACCACAGCGAAGCCATGACAGGCCACAGCCAGACCATCTCAGCGCATTCTAATCCAAGCTGCGGGTCTGTCAAAGACCGATGTGGCACCGTCACCCTGGGGCCCCAGCTGTGAATCCAAAGAAGCCCTACACAACATGAGCTATAGTCTAAACTCCGTAAAGGGGGGTTATATAGGG